TATATCCTCCCCACTACCTTAACTCTTCATAGATCTAATATCCAGGGCTTGAATATTAGTTTGGGAAATGTTTTGATGTTTATTCTCTGACACAAGAGTCCATAGGTTACTTCAGTCATTCAAGTGATTGTTTGAGAATTTAACCAACCAACTATAGGACTAATTCTCAGCATGACAGCAATATTTTTGAAGTATTTTAGAAATAACTGATGTTCAATTTGGAAATAGCTGACAATGCAACGTGATCATGGAATGTGGGTTGCAATAGACAAGTAAAGACCAAACTGATACAGTGACATTTGAGCCAAATTTTGATGGAGACGAAGGAGGGAACCATGCCAATATTTGGAAAAGAGCTTTCCAGTTAAAGAGAACAGCAAATGCAAGGGTCCTGAGACAGAGGGAGCATGCTTGGCAAACTCAGGGCACAGCAAAAAGGCAATTTGATTGGAACAGAGTGAGTAAGGGGGAGAGTGAGAACAGGTGGGTCCCCGCTCCCCAAGGAGTAGGAAGGGTGGCTGGTGGGCCTGACAAGCTATGCTGGGAAAAACCCAGTCTTTCCCTGGTGTTTATCTCCTTTCCTACTAACACACAACACTTCACTTCTGACACCTCTGGTCACCAAATGTGTGGGATTTTTGCCCCCCATCAAGAATTTTTCTGAGACACCAGCTGAGTGCCCCACCGTTTAACTCAGTTCTGACATATCTACCTGCAGTCAGTGGCTCAGTCCCACAAGACTGCTCCCCTACGTCAGAGCCAGTCACAGGTCGGGTGGTCACCAGGGCTCTGACCAATCGGCTGTAAATCAGAGGTTCCCACAAGTCCCTTCTCAGGTTTGATTAATTTGCTGGAGTGGCTCCCAGAACTCAGGGAAGCACTCACCTTTACCTGCTTATTGACGGATATGATAAAGGATGCAAGTAAACAGCCAGATGAAGAGACACATAGGGCGAGGTCTGGGAGGGTCCAGAGCACCAGGGCTTCTGTCCCTGTGGATTTGGGGTGCACCCCCCTTCCAGTCTGTGGATGTGTTCACCCACCTGGAAGCTCTCCAAACCTCATGCTACTGGGATTTTAGAGGCTTCCTCATGTGGTCAATTATTAACTCCATTTCCAGCCCCTCTACCCTCTCCAGAGGAATTGGGGGCAGGGAGGTGGCAGAAGCAGGGCTGAAAATTTCAAGCTCCTAATTATGGCTTGGTCTTTCTGGTGAACTGTCCCTATCTGGGGGTCATCCAGGAGATCACCTAGTAGAATAAAATATACTCCGAGTTCTCCTATCACTTAGGGATTTACAAGCATTTAGGAGCCCTGGGTCAGGGACAGGGTCAAAGACCAAATATTAGAATAAGAGATGCTCCTAGTGCTCTTACCACTTAGGAAATTACAAAGGTTTTAGGAGCTTCTTGCCAGGCCAGTAAATATACTTCCTCTTATCTTACCTAGGCTGTGCAAGGACTTTGGCTTTTCCCAAGAGAAGTGAAGAACCACTGGAGGGTTTTGAACAGAACAGAGACATGATCGGATAAATGTTGGAGAAGGATCACTGTGTTCTGTGTTGTGAATAGACACTATGGAGGCAAGTTGGTTGATTGCAATAACCCAGGTGAGACACAAAGAGGGCCTGACACAGGGTGAGGGTAGCAGAGTGATAAGGAATACTTGAATTCTGGGTATATTTAGAAGGTGGAGCCAAGAGGGTTTCCTGAGTGATTAGATGTGGGTTGTGGGAGCAAGAGAGGAACCCACGTTGACTTGCCTTCCCAGAGACTGCTCGTATTAATGTGCAGGGGAAACTTTCTATTGCCCTTCACCTAAGTAACCTGACAGAGCCATCTCTCTGCTAGTCTCCTGTAAAACACTCTGGCTGATGCACATTTGATTTTCATGACCCACAGGCTACACTCGGGAATATCCCTCCATCACAACCTGTAACTCCATCCCCATTAATCGAGTTGTATGTTTATCTGGAATGGTTGACTCCTTTCCAACACTGTGTGTTCTGATTGTACTTAAAATAATAGATTAATTAAATATAGTGTGAAATAATGGAACATGAGTTTGAAGTCAGAATTGAAGGCTTTGGAAAGTATAAAGTTGAGTCTTAAAAATTTACTGAGTGTGAGACCATTGTAAAAATATAGGGGGGAAAATTTAAATCCAGAATGATCATGTTCTCAGATTACTTGCCAAATATTTTTAAGTTCTTCCTCTAAAGAAATCAGAGCTAGACATCATACTCCCATGGGTGTGGTTTACGCAAGAAAAATAACGCTGGCCAACCAGCGGACACGTGCTTAAGAGGAGCCTTCCAGCAGAGACTGACAATGGATGCGTATAATAGACATTCACAGAATATAGTGGATTCTCTGTTCTATCCAGATTTTCTGCCCCTAATAAATTGATAAACTGCTTGTTCAGGTCACGTTGAAAACGACAATTTTCACTGCATTTTATTGATAATTTACATACCCTAAAAATGTTCATGTGGACAACAAATGCTTTTCCTTGAACCATATTCCATTTCTCCATTCTGGTGCCTATGAGGGAGCCCGACTAGTTTCTGGGTTTTGGTTTTTAATGTGTTTGGTGAAAAATGAACTCACTTTGACTTAAAAACCACCTTTAAAATTAGACTGAAAGTGGTAAGAATATACAGCTCGAGGGCCCATAATCAATCACAAAGCACGTGCAGACTTTAAAAACTATAGGCCTGTCACTAAGTCGTCCAGTCTTCTGGGTGCAACAAAATACTATTAAAAAGTTTCTTATTATCATTCGTTTGTAATCACAGAAAAATAGAGGAGGCTGCAGCAAATATCCTTTGGCTCCCAGAGGGCGCAAGGCAGAAAGAAGTCAGAGCTGGAGTCTGGTTCCTCCACATGGTGGCGCTACCTCCTCACCAGGGCTGCCAAAAAGACGGAAAAGCGGTCTCATCCGCTTCAGAGGGCATTCGCTATGGGATTCTAGTAGACCAAGGACTGAATACATGTGACTCTACCCCGCGTTTCTGAAGTTTAGTACATTTTCAAAAATTGCAGAAGCCTTCTGCCTTACCTACAGAAATGGAGTGTGCATGTGAGAGTATTAGAATTCGAGTATTAGTACTACAATGAGAGAATGAGAATGAGTTTGAGAGAGTATTAGTGTGTATGTGTGTGTATATGTGTGTGTGTGTGCGTGTGCGTGTGTGCACATGACAGTGTGTGACAGTATGTGAGTAGGAAGGAGCCCACAGTGCTCTGGCTTTAATTCTTTGAAGAAACCTAAGCATACTGTTTAAAGCACGTGAGCGTGGCTAAATTATGCTTCAGATTCAGTCCTGCATGTTCTGCCAAAGGCTAAAGCTGCAGATTTTCCCTCCAGATGGGAAACAAAATCTAAGCACAACCCCTCTTTACTTTCCCTAGATATTTCAGCGACATTTTACTTCTCTAGAATTTTACCAATTGGGCAGGAATTTTTATGGAAGAGTTTCAAACAATACTAATAGCACAACATCCACTATCAAGAATCTCACACATTCCATTGCTGCATGAATATCATTCATTTATTGACATTAACATTATGAACACATAATGGAAAAATGCTCCTCAAAAGAGGAAGGTGAATGTTGACCGTCAATAGGACAAAGCTATCTTCCAAAGATAGAGATGTGGGGAGTAGGTTCACAGTTGGGTGCATGAGTCCACGAGGACGGAGCTCACCTATGTATGTGTGTCCTTGGGGGCGAGGTGTTGGATGAGGAGGCTCAGGAACGCCTCCAGCTGCTTTCTTGACCTGTAGGCGATGAGTCCTCCCTTGTTGGCCCACTGATCCACCCCCGCAGCGCCCTCGTTTCCCACGTGGTACACCAACTGCGGCAAGTCGAGCCCCGCCTGGGGATGTCTTTCCAAGCACTCTTTTAAGTCCACCATGCCCCCACCCATGGCCCTGAGGATGGCGTGGGCAGCACAGGAGTCCCACTTGAACGTGGTATCTTCTGAGAAGATGTAAATGTCGACAAGGCCGAGGACAACACAGAGGCTCTTGTAACCAGCCCCAGCTGCCCGGAATATGCGCTCTCCACACACGCGCGCGAGCGCGGCCTTGATCGGCTCCTTTTCACTTGTGCTGATGACGGCTGAGAACGGGTGGGGGCTTTCTGCCCCCGAGCTGGGGTTTGCAGTCACCGGGCTCCGCGCTTCACGGCTGTTGCTTGCAGACACCGGAGACTGGAGTGAATGGATATTGGTCCCCATGTAAGAAAGGCCCCAGTAGCACTGTCCTTTCCACCTGCGGAGGAGAACATTTAGTTTGTGGCCGTAGGTTATCATGTTCGTTTTCACTGCTCATATGGCTTCTCCACTTGATATGAAAATCATAACAAAATTAGTCTCAAAGGCCCTGAAGCCTAGAAATAGACATCAAGTAGCTAATTCATTTCTAAAAGTTACTCCTACACACGTCGCTGCCCGTGTCATTGCAGATCAGGAATTCTTTCTGTTTTTCCTCATTATCTCAGCCATCTCAATAAATGCTAAAATATTTATGGGATTTCTGGCCTCCAGGAATACAGCAAAGTTTCTCTGTCACATTTGGCATTTAGAGTTTAGGAGGGGTACAGAGGGTGGGGAGCGGGGGAGGTGAGAGGCCAATAAATAATCTCTTTTCAATCTGCAGATCTTTCACAATCCTTATAAATTCTTCAATTGTTTACATCTTTTCATTCTCTAATTCACTAGCTCCACTTTGGCTTTAACACCAAAAAAGAGGGACTCATTACTTTTGGCAACAATAGCCCCTATCATTTCTCTGTGTCTGACTGACTATATATGCTGGGTAATTTATTTCCAGAGAAGGAAACTGAGGCTTAGCACATGTAAGCGTAAGGATGTAAATCAGTGGTAGAATCTGCATTCAAACCCAGGAAATCTCACTCCAGAATCTGTACCACTAACTATTTGTCAACCATTTCTAGGCCATGATTATGTTGGCACCCAGCCTCACTTCTCTTTAACATCTTAACGACCCTGTAAAGATAATAGAAACATTTTCAGTGGGGAAGAAGGCAGGGGTAGAAGAAAAAATGTCAGGATTCCAGAGGTGTAGTTTCTGACTATTAAAGAACAAGTGATTCTTAGTTGCCTAAAGAAATTCGAAGCTCAATAAAAATATGTAGTTCTACGCAAGTGGAAAAAAAATTATCTATTTCAACAAAAAACTGAAACCACAGGAGAAAAGCAGCTTCCACTTGGATTCTGCCATGCCCTGGAGTCAACCAAAGCCTGGGGCCATGGATCAGAGCAACTAATAGCCTGGCCACCCTCTATGCTCTGCACAAGAGTCCATGGAAGGGGGAGGGGGGAGGAGGCAGGAAAGGAAGTGATGCTGGCAGAATTTACAGGGAGAGCACCCCATAGGCAGGTTCTAATCCTGGCCAGAACTACTCATCTTTTCATTAGATGATTTTCATTAGACATTTTGTTTTGAAACCCAGGATTGAAACTAAAAAGCACATTAATTCATACAATGCAGACTTCTAGTAGGAGTACCCCAATATATCGAGTCACGGGAATGTCACGTGGAGAGAGAATCCTGATGATAAGCAAGGCTGAGGCTGTAATGTCTGAAAGTCATGACAGACAGCAAGTGTTCCTCTTTTACCTGAGGGTGCCTAGGTCTTGTGATACAAAAGGCTGGTTGATGACGCCCATCAGGGGCACTCCTGTCTGTATGTCATAGACACCAATTAGAATAGTGACACACTGAAGTCCACTGGGGAAGACGCCTTGGTTGGATTTAATGTCAGCAGAACCTTTTATATACTGGTAAGTTGAATCTGGAAAATGAAACAAATTTGTCTGGTTTCAGGTCAGGATTATTTAGGAGATAGTGATGAATACATCTACAAACTCTGTCCTGTATCATTTCTCTCTTCAAATTTGGTAACTGCTATGGTGTTAATGTTTGTGTGCCCCCAAAATTCTAACCCCCAAAAGGTGATGACATTAGTAAGTGGGCCTTTAGGATGTACTTACGTCCTGAGGGTGGAACCCTCATGCATGGAATTAGTACCTTAAAAAAAGAGGGTCCAGAGGGATCCTGAGTCCCTTCCACAAGGTGAGGACATGGTGAGAAGGAACCAGCTAGAACCAGGAAGAGGGCCCTCACCTAGCCATGCTGGCACCCTGATCGTGGACTTCCCAGCCTCTGGAACTGTGAGAAATAAATTTCTGTTGTTTATAAGCTACCTGATCATGGTATTTTCTTATAGTAGCCAAAGTGGTCTAAGATAGGAGCGATCAAGTCTTGCCTTTGAATGCCACTTACACTGAATAGTTACATGATCTCTTGCACTTCACTTTTAAGCTGCTTATGTTTCATTTGCCCAACTGTATGGAAACTCTTGGAGAGAGAGGACACGTCCATAGCTCCTATGGTAGCTAGCACAACACCTTGCAGATAACAAGCACTCAAATACCCATCACATGTCAGAATCATTGAAAAGCTAATGGCTCAGGAGAACTGGTGGGATTTCTTAGAGTTCTTACTAATCAGAGGACTAGTCCAAGGGGGACGGAAAACCTCCTTCCAGGAATCCATCAGGGGTGGAATTACCTTTTTGTTCTTTTGTTTGTCCCTCAAATTAAGAGGAAAGAGATAATGATGGTTGCACAAAAGGAAGAAGTTGATGGTGCTCCTAGGAAAAAGAAGCCAAGGAGCCAGGTTTCTTCTTAAAAGATAAACCTGCAGCAGCTGACTGCTAACATCCAGTGAGTTAATGCCCAATTAAGGATGTACCATCACATCCTGAATCAATTCAGGACGGGACCAAAAAACAAGGTTTCTGTCCCTTAACTGAGTCTGACTTACCTTCAAGTGGTATAAGAGTCTGGAAAAGATTCTTAGTTTCTATATATAATCCATTGGACGAACGTTCTCTAGTTTTGATGCTTACAGGCATTTCTATAATGTCGTATTAATGTGATGATAGGAAGGGGAGGGTGGGGGGAGTTTGCCTGCTCAGCATAATGATTGGCCCCAGTTGTTTTGGGTAGAAATGCCAGGCAGGGATTTCTCAAAATCCATACCTAGGGCATTATATTAATAGCATCACTGAGATAGGCCTATAATTTTAAAATAATGAGCTATAGATTAGAGTTCTGCCATAATCATGACAAAAAAAAAACACCGGGAGAGGTTTACATAGGATTCACAAGTTGACTGCTAAAGACACATTCAGCCATGTGTTGCTTGACAGGTACAGTGGTTTTGATTGTTTGCTTATTTAACTGAATTAGTAGCCAGTGGTTAAACTGAGATCTCATTTAAAAATCTAGATTTTGATCGTTTTTAAAAAATCTGAAGCTCTGGACTGTACTCCCATATGGCAACAATCTGCTGGGGCCTGATGCTCTTCGTGCTCAGTCATAGCTGCTATCACTTCGCTCTTCTCTCGTATTTAGCAGTCTGGCCCCTGAAGTCTTTCAAAGATGAGTTCATCAGCTTTGTTATATGTGTGTGTGTGTACACACACACATATGTTATAGGTATACGAGTTACAGATGCATGCATTATAGATATACAGATATATATGTTACAGATATAGATATAAGTATTATAGATGTGTGTCTCTAACACACATTTCAACTTTTCATTTATCATTTTAAAGCTTTAAAAATTTAAAAATTTCTAGGAGAGATAAAAATTGAAAGTATGGTTTATTTTTCCAACCCCCTGCCCTGCAGAGGAAAAAAAGGGTTACTAATAAAAGCAAATGAACAAAAGCAAACACTCTCCTCTACTTACCTATGGGATCCACCCAAATTCCCAAAATGTCCTGTGGAATGCTGATCTCTATTGAATCCAGAGCTGGGTCAGTAAAGATGACGTCCTGATGTACAACCTTGGCTAATGCTTCAGATGCCAGCTTGTTACCACTAAGGACTTTGTTGAGAAGATCTACTGTTTCTTCCTCTGTTGGACACAGTCTCATGATAATCTTTTCCCCTAGAGTAAAGACAGAATAAAACCCATTACATTTCAAGTTTCGGGGGAGAAAGAACAACAGAAGGATGGGAAGGGGTAAAAGCCGTGCACTCAGGTCAGGTGAGGGCAACATACCCATACCAGTGGTTCCCAACCCATTCACTGCCAGAATCACCCAGTGGGCTTCACAAAGTCACAGATGCCCAGTGGTCACTCATGCACCTAATGTGAACAGTGAGGCATGGATTCCAGGCATCAGAGGAACCTCTCCCCAGAAAAATGTCCACATGGGCACATGCATACAGTTTTGTATCCAGTTTAAAGGAGCTCAGGTACCAGTTAAGAAACTCCTGAACCTTAAGTCCTTGATAATTAATCTCATATTTTTTGCCTTTTTACTTTTAATATATGTAGGTCACCCTATTCATGTTAGAATACGTTATTGAAAAGAATGAAGTGTTTATCAGTACACAGAAGTGCTTCTACCTTCCTCTAGAATGCTTTTAACTAAAAATTGTTCATGCTCAGTAAAGTAATCTAAATATACTAATCTTTTTTTTCCCCCTTTTTTTTTTTTTTGGCGGGGGAAGGTAGTTAATGGAGGAACTAGGGACTGAACCCAGGACCTCGTGCATGCTAAGCATGCACTCTGTCCCTAAGCTATACCCTCCCCGGAAGTATGTGCTAAAACTGTAGGACTCTAAATGACATCCATAGAGTAGCTCTCCTCTGTGAATCCACCGGGAATCAGGATGTAAGCAAAGCCGCTTCTGCAACTGAAGCCCCAAGTGACCAAGTGTAGGTGCTTTACCGTCACTTTAAACATGCTTCTTAGACCCTTGTTTAATCTGGTTTCCAGCTCCCCCAGAATGTGAGGAAAGAAGCTGGAAAAAACAGGCAAATTAATATGTCACAAAAAGTGACAGCAAAGCAGAATATAAGCTTTTAAAACTTATGAAAACATGGCACTTTGGGGCTTTTTAAGGTATGTGGACAAATACTCCTAGCTGATCTAGCCATTCCAAGGACTGGTAGCACCTGCATCATCAATGAGTCACCTGAGAGCTTGTTAAAGGCAGAACTTCAAGCCCCATCCCAGACCCACTGAGTTCTAACAAGCTCCCCAGGTGACTCATTGATCGTTAAAGTTTGGGAAGCACAGTGCAAATCTATTACAACAATGAGTCTGAAACAGCAAGAAACATTCCACTAAATTTAGTTTAATTCAAATTAAATCAGACTATTAAAGTTGGGAAATAATAATTTATAATAATAAATAATAATAATAATAATTTATAATAAACAAATAATAATAATTTGGCTAATCACTGCCACTTGGTAAGCACCTACACTAGGCTTAGTCATGGGATCATTCAAAGCAGCATATCCTGTCACATTACCACTTTGCTTAAAATTCTCCACTGAATTCCCAACACACTTAGAGAAAAACCCATACTCCTTCCTTTGAACTTCTACGGTTCCATCTCACCTGATCCACCAGCCCTTCTCCTTCACGGTTCTCTCCCCCTCCAACATGTTAAATGCATTCTCTCCTACAGTTCTCAGGCATATGTATGTAGAATGCCCTTTTGCCTCTATAATTCTAGGTAAATGAAATATTTAGATAGCTGTTCATGAAATAGTCAAACATAGGGTTTTAAGTGTAGGATTTCTTATGAGTTAGTCACAGGTTTTTTTTAACCTTAACTTTAAATGAGATTTCTCTTCCTTCATACTGAATGTTGTAGAACTAATTGCATCTTAATACACAGCCGATGAAGGAAACATTTTTAATCCAGAAATTACTTTTCTGTGTAAATATGCTTCTAGATGTTTAACTATTTGTCACAAGAACAATGTTTAAAGTTCACTGTTTTAATCTTCTACCATTAAACAAACAAAACCCCAGACAAACTAAAAACAGTTTGTTTCTCGAAGAAGATCAGCGATTTTGGTATTTTTCTTTCTACCACAAGGCAACATGGTGGTCCATCCAAAGAAGAATTTGGCCTACAGGAAAGTAGTTAAATAATATTTAAAACTGTACTAATAGGAACCTTTTAGGTAGTCCAACTCCCTTTCCAGAGTTTCTGAAACCAGAGAAGTGATGAGGCGATTTGCTCAGGGACAGGGCCTCCTTGACATTCTCAGCCAAGGTCTATGGACTCCTCAGGACCTCCACAAACGGGTTTACATGGACCTGAAACTGTCTGCACAATTATACAGATGTGCATCTTTCTGGGGGCATCTAGGACTCCATTAGATTCCCAAAGGGCCATGTAACTTTCCCAAAGGTTAAATCATACATTACTCAAATGCTACAGATTTAGTTTAGATTCTAGTTAGAACAATAAATGTGGACTTGCTAAGTAATTCTAAGACGTCACGTCTCCCTAACTTAAATGTCATGATATTCCGAGGTACTGAATGAAGCTTAACATTAAAATATGTTATTTACATGAAAGGCCTCCAAACATCCACTTATTTCATGATGTAGGTTGAAAATCAGAATACCATATGATAATTAAGTTATAAAAATACATTAAGATTCTTATACTTACCCAAATCATTAGTAAACTCATTGGATTCTTCTCCAAAAATTTTTTTTCCCAAGCCTGGAAACTGAATAATTCAGAGTATGACAAAAATACAAAACAATAAAAAAAAAAAGAACCCACATTCATGTTCAGTTCTGAACAGATTTCCATTTTAATTTCAAATTGAATAGCACAATTAGATCTGAAATTTAGAAATTTACAATTCCAGAAATCAACCCAAGGATAAAAAGTGAAGCCAGCTTGGTTCAGGACTTAGTTTTTTAATATTTTCCTGCTCCTTTGCCCCTCTAGAAAGTCCAAATCATGGTAGAAGGCTGGTTTCCTTATGTTCTGCTGAGTCTGCAGAAATACTTCTAAAAACTTCATCCTTCCAGTTAAGGGCCATAGAACTAGAATGTTTACAAAGGAGGTATTTTAACTATTGCTCTTAAACAGCACCCTAGTAGCTTATACAAGTTGATGTTACTGACCAAGTACCTAAAATGATTACTTGAGACCGGATAGAAGGGATCAGATGATAACACTAGATTCTGATATGAAATTCTATCCTCCCAAATCTAAAAGAAAAGTATTCATTATCACATAAAAGGCAATACAGTATCACAAAGAGTCCAAACTCTGAAGCCAGTTGGCCTGTGTTCGAAAACAGACCCTGCCATTCACTTTGCTGTGTAACCCTGGGCAAGTTACTTAACCTCTCTGTGCCTCCCTTTGCTTATTCATTACATTGAAATAATATTTCTTACCCCATAAAATTGTTAAATGTGAAGTTAATATACTTAAAGCCCTTAGAATAGTACCTGGCACATAGTAAGCATTTATAAGTGTCCGCTAATGTTATTGTTTGTTATGACTACTTAAGATTACAGTTTCTTTACCCTAGTCAACTTAAAAGACCTAGAATTACAATCATTATTAGTTATAAACAATGTTTTTCTACTAGAATAAAGGGAAACTTTATGTCTCCAGGACTCTCTGAATTCATTACTAAGGCAATCATTAGATAAACGATTATGTCAAAAGGTGAGACTTAAATAAATCAAGTTAAAAAAAACCAGGTTATAAAACAACATGTTCCCATTTCTTGCAAAGTAAGTTAGACGTGCCATGCACAGACACACACAGAAGGGAAACATTCTAACAATATTCAGCAAAACACAGCTGTGGTTTTCTCTAGTGGTAGGATTAAGAGGATTCTTATTTTTCTGTATTTAAAATTCTTTTCTGCAACACACACTTTCTGCAACACACATAATATTGAAGTCAAAACGAGGGGGAAAACCCAAGTTGTTTATTAGAATCCAAGGTGCTAGTATTTTGAGGGGGTGTGGGGGAGGAAAAGGCATGCTGCTCTATCAAGGGGAGAAAACCACAGGGGCAAATATTTTGCAATTACCTTGGCTATGACCTTTCTTACCTTGTTCTCCATATTCTGTTTTATAACTTCCTGCACCAGTACATCAGCCAGGGTCTTGAAATCAACTGCAAACTTCTTGTTCTTTTCTCCCTCTTTCTTTTCTTCTATCAGTAGCTGGAAGAGGGCTTCCTGCTGCCTGCACGCTCGGGCAATGTCGGCAGCTTTCTCAGAGACACGGAGCAGCTCCCGGAGGATTTCTGACATTTCTAAACCTGGCTTTTTGGTTGCAGTTGCTGGTGGAATAGGCACCCACCCTCTGGGCCGTCAGCTGAAAAAGAGCAAGAATGTGAAAGAGAAAGCAGCTCAGAGAGTGATGTCAGGGTGCCTCAGCACCGCTAACAACCCAACCACCCACCTGGCAGCTAACCTGTCAGCATGGCTGAACAGCTAGTATATATCACAGTCACATCCTCGGTGTGGAAGACTGGATAGCATCTAAAATTTGAAACTTATTTTTGAAAATCAAAATAAATGTATAGACTCAAATCCACTAGTCTCTGAATGAGAATCCACATACTGTTTACAAAACCTTAGACAGATAGACAGCTGGATACACCGGTACAACATTAAAAGGAAAAACCAAGTTCCTGTAATGACCTTCAAATGGGCACGCAAGCTTAGCGACAGTATTAGGAAAGTAGAACTCTTTCTTTCACCCTTTTGGAGAAGGAAACAGTGAAAGTGGATTTACCCTATCAGTCTGGGGGCAGCTTTCTAAAGCACTAAGCACCACACCAGCAAGCACTGTTGGGTCCAGCAAGACTCTGAGGTCACTCTTGGGCTAGCAGCCCAGGCCGTCTCGCAAGACTAACCACCTTTTTTTTTCCCCCTATTGAAAAAGTCCCACTACCTGTGCTGCTCTTCTGGCAATTTAAATAATAAAATGAAGTAAAATACACAACTTATTGGGACTTGAAAAGTTCTGGCTTCTAAGAGGCATGCTACCACACCTTGACATACCTATCGGGTAATTAGGAGAGAAAAACATTTCTCAGTTTCAACACTAGCTGCATTTTATTGAAAACTTTAATAATTTCTATCTCACGATTGTGAGAATTATTGTGAGAATTATCAGCCCTGCTTTATAGTCAAGGAAACTGCAGCTTTGAGAGGTTAAGCAACCTGTTCAGGGTTACACAAGACTAACCGGCAGGGCTCAGTCAGTCTTACACACAAGCTCCTGTTCATTATTCTCATAACAAATACTTTACTTCTTAAAAAAAGTTCCCTTAATGGACTCTAGGAGGCCGAGAATTAGTACAACAACGAAGATGTCAATGCAATGGAATTAATTGTTAACTGTTACAGCTGCTTTGTCTTAAACAGTTTTGCTTAAAAAAAAAAAACCAAAATAAAACACACACACACAAAAACTAGGTTATTTTCTTAAGATTAAGGGTCAACCGCCATGAGAGGATATGTCCAAACTAAATGGTAATAAAAGGAAAGTGAGTAAAAACAATGAGACACCCTACTTCACTATTAGACAGGCAAAACTTTTTAAAGTTAACTTTCATTCTTGCAGGTGAGAAGCAGGTGCTGTTACTCTGCTAATGGGCACACAAACAAGTGGGTTTTCAGTGGGCGACTTGAGAAACGTGTATCCTGATCCCTAGAGATGTCACTACCTCTTCGCCAGTAACTCCAGTGTGGCCTTATTTTGTGTTAAGAAAGTCAGAGTTGTTAAAATCCTTCGGCACAAGAAGGACTAGTAGTATTTGCAGCAGCAAAAAGTTGTCATCAGCTATCATCATCTTCATGCAAGACCTTCTAATTAATTTGCATGGCTAGCCTGCTGCTTTCTGGCTGAATGCACCATTTCTTCCAAATAAATCAAGCCACCATTCTCTGGATTTCTCTGTAAGCTTCTTCTGTATCTCTCTCTCCATCTGTCCTCAGCTCATTCGCTCAGCCAGGCCACAACACTCAGGGGAGTCCTGGACAATTTGTTCTCACCTTAAGTGACTCACCCTGAGACAAACTGCCTATGAGGAAACTGAGGGCTACATCCAACACAGAATTTTTTCTTCAAGTTTATTAATAGCTTGCATTAACCCTCGTGGAAATTATTATTCAGATGATTTTTTAAAGCAAGTCTATATACTCATTATTGACCTATGTTAGCTTTAAACATTTCAAATATTTTCAATGAAAATTATTATAGACCCATGATTAGTAAGTTATGACATTTATCATAATTTAACAGCCTTGAATATTGAAGAAATTCTTTTGTATTAGTATTTAATGGGTGTTCTGAGAACCACCACCCCACCCCCGTGTTAGAATTACCTAAGGTGCCTATTAAAAAGGCAGATTCCTGGGCTCCATCCCAACTTAGGGAATCAGAATCTCTGGGGACAGGGCCCAGGAATATGTATTTTTGTTAGCCTCCTAGATGATGCTAAACACTGAGATTTAATGGCTGCTTTCTTCCGGGCTGTTTATTCTTAATACTATGCTGGTAATTTCAGGGGGGCTGGCACCTGGTGGCAGATATCTTGGTGGAACCATGTACGTACTACAATATCCATGTGCAAGGAAAGGCCCAAGTTAAAATAATAATAGCTAACATTTATTAGGTGATTACTACACGGCAGGTACCCTTCTAAGCACTTCACACGTATTACCTCATTTGATTCTCACACAACCCTATGAAGAAAGTACTATTATTTCTATTTTACTGGTAAAGAAATGGAGGCACAGGAGGTCACGTGATTTGCCCCAAGTCACACGGCTAAGTGCTGGGACAGGATTCAAGCACAGACAAAGCGACAGAAACCCATGCCATTAGCCAGTGCCCTAGCCAATAAAATCCTTTTGCCAATTTTTAGCTGTTAACTAAGGGAAGAAATGACTAGTTACTGGATAAATAATCACCAGTGTATTATTATCATAAGGTCCATTATACAGCAAAAAGGAGAGCAACACACACATCTACTTGTTAGCTGTTAGCAGTCTGACTATTTAAAAAAATATATCACTGTTTATTTGACACTCACTTCCCTTCTTCCCTTCTACTCTCAGGAAAACCTTTTCCCTAGCTGATCCTCCGTCTCAGTGTAAACCAGCTTTGCTGGGTAGTGAAAGCTCATCCGTGTTCTGATATCTGTCTTCACTGGCTGTCTTGGCATGGAGGTGGAGGAGGGGTTAGCTCCTGCCAAACATCTCATTCCTCTTGTCTCTGTTTACTAGGGCTGCCATAACTAAATACCACAGACCGGGTGCCTTAAACAACAGGACTTTATTTTCTCACAGTTCTGGAGACTGGAAGTCCAAGATCGAGACGTAGGCAGGTTTGGTTTCTCCTGAAGCCTCTCCCTTTGGTTTGCAGATGGCCTTTCCTCTGAGGACGAGCAGGCCTGAGTGTCTCTCCCTCTTTATAAACACACCAGTCGGACTGGATTAGGGCCCACACATATGGCCTCACTTAACCTTAATTAAATTAAAGGCCCTACGTCCACAAACCATCCCATTATAAGGTACTGAGGGTTAGGGCTTCAACATTCAAATTTAGAGGGATTATTGTTCAGCCTATAAAATCTCTCCAGACAAAGAGACCTTGATAATCTAAGCAAATGCCAACCCAAACTATTCCTTTGTCTTTTGTTTTCTGGTTAAACAGTAAAAGTGGGCTAGGGTTCTCTTCCCCATTTATGTGGTCAATATGTTTAATTTGGTGTGACAACTTTTCCCACTAGAAGCTACTCACTTTAACAGTCAAATTTTTAATGATCAACTAACACTGAAATAACTTCTCATAAGCCTTATTTTGTTACAACCTATTTCAAGTCACATTTGAGCAGAACAGGTTGAAAGAAGTTACATTCCTTACCATCTCAGGCAAATGAATATCTGCATGTTTATATAAGATTGTATTACAATGTCAGATAGAAACAGTCTCTTTATCTTTTATGGCATTTTCATATCTACTAGAGAAATATTGAATAAACTGAAATAGGTCAATTAGGGGGACAAAAATCTCTTAAGACTTTTCCTGGAAGCACAAATCTCTCCACAAAGAGAAAACTCAATTTTAATTTCTGACCATTCTATCATCTCATCAGAACACCACTGTTTAACAATCATATCTGAATAACATACACATATTTCAGATATTATAAACAGTATAATGGGAAAGACACACGCTTTGGAATCAGACAGACCTGGGTTCAAAACCAGGGCTCTGTCATTAACTAGCTGTGTGTGGCATCAGGTAATTTACCTACCCTCCCTAAGCCTCTCTCTTCAAATGTAATATAAAAATAATAGTTGCCTTGCAGGGACATTGTGAAGACCGAATGAGGTATTTCTGGAGAAGTGCCCAGCACAGAGCCTCACATATAGTGTATAACAAATGACAGCTACGACTATTAAATACAACTTCACAGGAACCACAGTCACATGTCCTTACTTGAAAAAATAGGAGGTTGGCAACTTTATATGGGTCACTGAAATCTTTTCTGAAAATTTACTACTCCATTAAATCCAAAAGGCTGGAAACTACTTGTAATTCTTTGAATGACCCAGAAAAAAGTTCCTTTATGCAGGCCAGATCGGATTGCTTCAGTTTCTGGGCGTCTGGGTGGAAACTTTGGCTCCCAGAGGCTGAAGACTACTCTGGCTTCACGGTAGACCTTGTATAGATGTCAAGCAGGATATTTTGTAGGGGTATTTTGTGGGGATTCTAGAGCCAAGGGTGTCTGTTCTTGTGTGATGAGCCTGGTTGTATGAGAAGCTGGCCGTGTCCTCTTGTTGTTCACAGAAGTGTGACGACATAGATAAGGGCCCTCAACAAGACAGAGCTGCTAAGGAACAGGCAAGTAGCTCAAAGCATTTCTGTTGGCATGCATTTCTTCCTGCCGATACTCCACCACTTCTACAGAGCCCACATTTTTGCCCATTAGACAATGACTCCACCCCGGCACCACCATTCACATCCTGAACTCAGTCTTCCGCTCATCCTCTGAAGGTTGGCAATTTGGAACTACTGAGTGGTGGCCCTGCCTGACTGCTGTTGCTGTTGAGGGGAAAAGGCCCAACTTCCACGAAATACTTGGGTGTTTTACACTAAGTGTCCATGGTGACCTCTCTCAAGGGATGCAGCTGTCCAGGAGTCTCCCTGGGTGGGCACATGCTGAGGGGCTGGCCAGGGCTATCTTTAGCTCACACTGCTGTCTAGGGGAAACAGAGACCTTGTTCCCCTTCCCCTTCCTGCTCCATACTTAGGGCTGCTTTAGGGAGTAGTTTAAAGAATGTAAGCTGCCCTGGCAGAGAGGCTGGGGAACAGAAGTGGGCTCACACAAAGTACACCAGAGGCTCAATTGGAGCAACCATTGATGGCTAACATGAAACTTGCTAACAATAGCCTCCCCCAATATCCCTAAGTGATGCTCATCTGCTCACCTGGTTACCTAGGCCAGAGGGAAACCTATACCACAGGCATTGATAGGGATTTACAAATACTGCCTTTCAGCTCATGGGAAACTGAATTTCCTTCCAGTGTCTAGCTGTGTTCAACTTTCAGATATTTGACTGTCAAACATTTCTCAGCATCCACTAAGTAGCATAGCATGGGACTGCCTGTACTTTCTTTGCGTTATTTTGCTTTGATCTCTGTGATATTGCTGTCATCACTTCACAGGCTCTGAAGAAGTTTAGCATTTTAGTGGCTGATTTCCTACTGTCTGTTCATTTGCTCCTGTGCTCTGGGCAGACCATTAATTTGTACATAATGTTCCCTCTGGTTGACAAGCCCTTCCTCCTGCTTTCTATGCCTAATGTTTACTTAACTTCTCAGAATCGGTTCAAGGGCAAGAAATTTAATTAATAGAATTAAATTAATTTAAGTATAGTTGATTTACAATGTTGTGTTAATTTCTGGTGTACAGCATAGTGATTCAGTTATACATATATATATATATATTCCTTTTCACATTCTTTTTCATTATAGGCTATTACAAGATATTGAATATAGATCTCTGTGTTATACAATAGGACCTATTGTTTATGTATTTCATATATAGTAGTTAGTATCTGCAAATCTTGAACTCCCAGTTTATCCCTTCCTACCTCTTTTACTCCTGGCAACCATAAGTTTATTAGTTTGTTTTCTATGTCTGGAGTCTGTTTCCATTTTGTAAATAAGTTCATTTGTATCTTTTTTTTTTTTTTAGATTTCACATAAAAATAATATCATATGGTATTTTCCTTTCTGTTTTTGGCTTACTTCACTTAGTATGACAATCTCCAGGTCCATCCATGTTGCTGCAAGGGCTAGAAATTTGAAGAGATACTTCATAACAGGATATTTAATGGCCAATAAATATACAGAAAGATGATCTAGATCATTAGTAGTCAGGAAAATGCAACTTAAAATCACAACAGGATATCAGTGCATATCCAATGGAATAGCTAAAAGTAAAGCTGAAAATGTCACTGTTTGGTGAGGATGTGGAGCAATAAACTCAACACTGCTGGTGTGAATGAAGTTGGTACAACCATGTTGGGAAACTATTCGTAATTTGTTGAATATAAGCATAACCTATGACCTAGCAATTTTCTTTGAAGACTTATACTCAACAGAAATTCCTGTACACATACATTAAAAGACATGTACAAGAATATTTATTAGCAGCATAATTTGCAATAACCTCACATGAAATATAACCCAAATGACCATCAACAATAAAATGAAATAAACTGTGACATATTTACAAAAGAAAATACTATACAGCAGTGAGAATTAATGAATTACTGCCATAGGCAACAATGTGAATGCATCTCACAGAAACATACTGTTGAGTGAACACACAAAAAAACACACTGAGGAATTTAATTTATTTGAAGTTCAAAAATAGGCAACACGGACTTACGGTGTTAGAAGTCACAATGGCAGTTATTCTTGGAGAAGGAGGGGTTATTGATGAGGGTATAGGATGGGGCTTTCAGGCACTGGTAATATTCTGGATCTGAGTGATGATCACCTTTTCAGGCCGACGTTGTGTAAATTCATCAAGCTACACACTTAGGACTTGCATACTTTTCTATATGTATTTCTAATTGGATAAAAAAAGGTTTTTAAAAGGGTTGCATGTATAGAGAGGAGAGTCAATTCAACAGTTGGCTTCTCCAGGAGCCATGCCTACTGCCTTCATATCAGGTACCTGGGCCAGGTGAAAACAGAGGTGGGCCAAGTCCCTCTCCCAGCTGCCCAACACACTGTGTATTGGTTTGCTTTATCTAGGCTCTGTCTAGTAGGAGATTTAAACGTGTGTGGCTTCTTATAACTCTTAGCACATACCTCAGAGATGTTCCATAAATGTTGGCTGATGAATTTCCTCTTAGCTTTGTAAATACAGAATTCATCCTTGTCATATTGTTTATCACACTTGGATTTTATCAGCACTACCAGGTGCTATTAGGCATGTGGGCCCATATTCATTTATATCAAAGTCTGCGTACATTCTATACTCATTTACAAAAACAAACCAAAGCTGTATCCGGATAATTAGCAATTGTACACATTTTCCTGAGCATCAAACCAGAATCTAATATGCTCTGTCATTTGGAGGTGACCTATCTTGGTGAAATTAATTTAGTTAATTAAATGGCCAAAAATAGTAAGTTTAATTTGGTTTTGTTAGAAAAGACATTAAATATGGGATATGTAAATCCATCTATTTAATCTTAACATTTCTCCCTCCCGTCTTCCTAACCTCGAAATTGTGCTGATATACATGCCATTTCTAAGCTGATCAGTCTACCTCACCCTAGCTCTATTAAGGCTACTGTTAAGGACCACATTAGCCCCCATTTTTGCTCACTGATGCTGCTCAACACAACAGACCACAAAGATCTCCTCTAACCTCAAATGTTGTCTGGTAGCTTAGAAAGGGAAGCTTGTGCTGAAGTAGTGTTTCCCAAATTAGTAAGATCAAGAATTAACTGGAACACTCATTTAAAATGTAGATTTTTTGGACTTTTCCCCTGGAGATATTGATTCAGTAAGTCTAGGTAGAGGACGGGGAATGTCTCTCAGCTTATTTTTATTTAACAATTTAAGGAAATACTAGGTGCAACTGTCAGCTCTGGCTCTCACTGGTTATTCAGGAGCAGAACAGGGACTCTTGTATTCTTTTTTTAAGTTTTTGTGTGTGGGGGGGTGTATTATTATTTTTAGGATTGAACCCAGGACCTCATGCAGACTGACCACGAACGCTACCACTGAGCTATACCCTCCCCTCCTAGAACAGGGAATGCTAAAGCTACTGCAACTAAGAATAATGGCCTTGGTCAGCTAAGGGCCAATTTATATTCCCTTTTTTGTTACAAAAGTTAAATGGTGGGAAAAAATGTAAGTTGATCTACATAGTAAGTATTCCACACTAGCAAAATAGTTGCCTGAAGTATGCATTCCAATGACTTCCCAGAACATATTTAAAAAGTGTTAAAAAAATCCGTTTGAAAATACTTTTAAATTTGACAGTGATGCTTTTTTACCCTCTTCTCCAGAGCTGGGAACATTTTCACTAAATAGAAGCTCTTTTCTATCTGCTATTTTCTAACTAGACATTTCAACTTCTGTGTGCTAAGAGATGTTTTTAGCCTACAACTGTGTTGTCACAAATGAAACCTGCAACAAATGAATAGAATATAAAAAATAGAAGTAGATTCAGTGTAACTATCTTAACTGTAGGAAAGAATAAATGTTTTAAAAAATACAAGTTGAATGCTTAATTCAAGGCAGAAAGAAATGACACAAGATGCATAGTTTGTAGAAAGAATCTTTTCCAGCAGATTATTATTTATAGTTTTGGTAATTATTAATCTTATTAATCCTCAAATCCATTTTGAACATTTCCTTCTGAATATAACATTCAAAATATAACAAAATATAACAGTCATTTTATCTTTCCTTATGAACTTTTGTAATACGTACTTTGGGTACCAACTCATTTAACACCTGCCTTTTATGGTCTACATGGGCTGCATGGATGTGTGGTAGAAACAGCCTCGTTTAGGCCACAAGAGAGCTGGTTCTTAGGCTCTGCTTTGCCTTTAACCAACAGTTGTGAAACCCTGACCACATGACGAAGCTCTGAGGGACTTGTTTTCCCCATTTGTGTAAATATAAAAAAGGACAAGAAAGAAGGGACAGGCAGGTTGGAGGGGATGATTTCTATGGTCTATTCCAGTTCAAAACTTCCCTGTTTTTTATATCCACTTTCCATATAAAACAGGCTGGGGAATATTATTCAGCCTTAAAAAGGAATGAAATTCTGGTACACGCTACACTATGGATGAACCTTGGAAGCAACGTGATAAGTGACAGAAGCCAGACTTAAAAGAACAATATTGTGTAATTCTACTTACATGAGGTACCCAGAATAGTCAAAATCACAGAGACAGAAAGTACAATGGTGGATACCAGGGCTGGGAAGAGCAGGTAATGGGGAGTTACTGTATAATGAGTCCAGAGTTTCAGTTTGGGGTGATAGAAAGTTCTAGAGATGAATAGTGGTGATGGTTGCCTAACAATGGGAATGTATTTACTGCAAGTGAATTGTACACTTGAAACTGGTTAAAATGGTAAATTTTATATTATATCTATTTTACTACAATTTTTAAAGAGTAAAACACAAACGAAGTTAGTTTTAAAAGAAAGTACATTTTTTTAAATGTACATTTTAAAAGCTTTTGATGTTTATCACCTACCTAATAAAGACATAATAAAAAAAGATTGGGATAAGGCCATGAAAATTAAGTTGAAAAAGAGCACTAGGCTCTTTGACTTGCAGTTAATTTTGTACAACGACACTGATATTTATACTTAGATTGTATGTTCATACACTACAGTAGTTTGGGTTAATGAACATTATGAGGAAGGCCTAAGCTCCCCACCCAAACCAGCCCTTAAGGCAGCACTGTTCTCTCTCTAATAGGCTTTAAGTTCCCTGACAACAGGATACATGTTTTTTTTCCACCTCCTCATGACACACAGTGGGAGTTCTGTAATTTAATTGACTGATTTTCATTCCATTAGAGATAAACATGTTTAAAAGGATTTTCTTGCACCAAAATTAATCTGTAAAGGATTATTCATCATGCAAATTTTAGGATTATAACTATTAGAAAATGAGATTAAAAGGAGTTCTTTACAGAACTTTTTAGAAGATGGTTATTATTATTAATTTCTGCAATGATAAACTACATGACCTAAAACATATTCTTTGACTATTAGAGCAAGAAAGCAAAGGTTGTAGATCATGTTATGTATCATTTTGGCAGACTTGGTTTATGGCAGCACATCTCATTATTCTGCTTTCACTTTGTAGAGGCAAATGTTTATTTTCAACAGATATTTACAAATGTTGACTAGAACAATATAGAATACTGGATGTAACATTTGCCTTCAGAGGAACACAAACTGATAGAAGAATATTTATAGTCCTTTTCACTTGAAAAGGTCGAAATACTAAACAGATATAAATGGCTCTTAGAGCCACTCCAATACATAAATATAATAAATGCTCCTGCATTTTTGCTAATCCTGCAACCATAGATAAATGTTTAAATGGGCTAATATTCACCTTCTTGATCTGATTTTTCATTTATAGTTCCCCCATTCTTTGCTATTCATGAAGCTTGCAATCAACCGTATTTTTAAAACAGACCTTTCATTCTTCCCAGAGCAAACTGGGATTATATGTGATTATATGTAATTCTTGTAAATTCCCAGGCTAGAGGCGTTTTCTAGAACTTGGAAGATAAGGTCCTACTTTTTAAAACTACTAATAAAAAAAAATGTAGGATTTCCTTAAGCAATGTTAAATAACACTTTCCTTTGGTCATTCAAATTAAACTCCTCTGCTATTGATTATAACTCTCACTAGCATCAAGAGAAGCCTACCATCATCACTCTATAAAGAAAAGGACAAATTTAATATCTATTGATAAAGTTAGCAAATTACATTAAACTTGGATAATTAAATTATAAGATTTTAAATATTCAGTTGATTAAAAACAAAAACAAGAAAAGCAGACAACCCTCCCCCATCCCTCAAAAAAGAGGAAAAAAACGGAAAGAAAAGGAGTGGAGAGAAGGAAACTGACATTTTCCATTGTGGTAGTTCATCTTAAGGAACTCTTTTCTAGATGGTTAAAACTCTATTTTGTCAATTTGTTTTTACATATAGTTTGCCACATTTTATGCCCAAGTAAAGTTTTTTTTCTTTTTTAGATGGTGTTGGGTAATTTCAATAAAAGTTATAAATAAGTTACTAAAATTTGCATGCTTGTCTTCTCTAGCTAGGAACACAGAAAGTAACAAGTCTGTTATATGAGAGAGAAATGATGAGGCACAATATTTTGCTGTGGATTACTACTCACAGAAATCTGCACTAAAAATCCATTAAAAAAACGTTCTTAAAACATTGAAGGACTTGAACTAAGATTGCCTACCACAAAAAAGAAACTGAATGTGTAAAAATGTTTGCTAAGTTCAATCACCAGAAGGCTTGACTACAAAAAGATATAAAAGTTTCAGATTTCCTAAATGTGTGACATCATCATAGGAGCAAAACCACAGCTTCCATTTAAGAACATTTTATGTACAGAAATGCTAATAGGTTGTGTCTGCTGTTCATTTGAGCAACAGTTGTCTCCCACCTGTGTTTCCCAATCTTGCCTTTTTCGTTTGTTCCGGTTTGCCCTTTGGAAATTGCATCATTTTGGCCTATTTTAAGTATCCTCTTTCTCTTAGAAATTCTGATTCAGGAAATCCCAAGCTGCAACCTGGGAATCTTTGTAGACCATTATTATCCCCTCTTCCTCCCACTTGCCTGCTCCCCTCCGTAATTTTTAAAATTAGACAGATTCGGAAATCAGTACTTAACACTAATCATGAGAGATGGGAAGCAAAGGGCTGTCAGCTCTGCTTTTATCTCGGAACTTCAAATCACACAAAAACATCAACACAGAGTTTTATTCGCTTCATTACAAGATTCAAAATATTTTAACAAGGACATTTATTGAGGACACATATCCAGAAAAAGTTCTCACATACACCACCCTCATGTTTAATAAATGAAGATACTTGTACTTATTAATCACTTCATATAACATGATTATCTTTGAGGCAATTTATTTACAAAATGGAATAGAATAAGACTCTTCTAATTGGTATCAAAGACAGAAATAAAAGGGGAAATAAGTAATGAATAACTTTTGCTTCACAGGCCTTGTATGTCAAATATGACTTTTTTTTCAGAACTACTACAAACATAGCTATAATTTAAATCTGTAATAAGATATTTCACACTAAATGATGTTAATCCAAGATGCAATTTCCAAGCAAGTGATGATTTAGTCTAAAAGCTTGAAAAGAAATGGTAGCTTATTCTATGAAAAAAATCAAGCGTAACTGTGCATTTTACATAATCTTCGTGACCAAGAACTAAATTCAAGAGTAGTATAAAAATCCACAAAAGCTTAAAAATAAACTACGTTCTAAATAAGAATGCAAACAAATATCTGAGTTGAAAAAATTAGCTCTTCCATTACCTTTTACCCCCTTATTTTCTATATTTTAAGAGGTAAAAAATGAGGTCACTTAGCTAATTCATCAGTCAATAGTAGTTCAGTGGATTATTTTCATCATTAGACTATAATCAGGTTGAACAGGGCTGATCCTTAACAAATCCTTTGGTTTCAAAGCTAGGAATCACAGGAAAAGGGCCAAAAATGTTCTGTTCAACATGTGGGATCCGTACAGCCTTAACCCACTGTTCTTTTGAAGTGAATGCCATTCACACAGTGGAAAACTTCTGCTTATTCAATGCCTTAAAACTAGTTTTAAAACGGAAATTTTCCAAAATACACACATGGATTGTTTACACGTATTCTTCATGAATGTAACGAAATAATCTAGGGATTTTTTTTTCACGCTCTTTGTGTGTAACACGATAAATGATTCGGCCAAACCCATGTTAAATATTTTCCCCTCTACTACTCTACTCTGGCCACATCAACTAACTATGCATATCTCACAAAACAGCCTTTCAAAATGCAGAAAATTAAAAGCGAGGAGGTAAAGACTTTTCTAAATATAGTCCCTTCAGGTTTATTTTACACTCGTCTAGTAAGTCGCTAGCGGGAGCCAGCAGCTCTGGACACAGCATCTCTCAAAGTAAAACCAAGGGGCGCTTGACAGCTATGCCATCTACCTGTTGAACCTGGGCCACTGCTCTCGACAACTGTCAGTTTAGCTTCTAGGACCTAGAAATGCTAATGACAGAATTTGGAGGGGAAAAAAGTTTGCCAATCTTGCTTCTCATCATCTATTTCTTTCGGGTCGTTTCTGCAGGGAGGGAGCCGCAGGACTCGCGAGCTCCTCCGCCCGGCTGGTTGCAGCAGTAATGCGGGCCGGGCGGGGTGGCAGCCTGGCTGCAGCAGACACAGGTCATCACAGGCCGGGCGGAGACGCAAGGAGCCCTCCCGACCCAGATTTACTCACCTACAGTCCGGACAGGCGATGCGGTGCGTGCTGTTCACCCAGCCCGGGAACCCAGATCCGAGCAGGAAGGGAGGTTGTGGCGCCGGGGCGAGCAAGGCGTAAGGAGGAAAACGTATTACCTAAGCCGGGATGCGGAGCCCAGGAGGCTGCAGCCTTTCCCTCCAGAAACGGAAGAGGCGGGGGAGAAGGAGGAGGAAAATGCGGAGGAGGAGGTGGCCGGGCGCAGGAGGCTAGCCGAGGGGCGCCAGGCGTCTGGCCGCAGGCTCAGCCCGAGAGCGAGGGGCGGGGAGCACGGCGGTGGTCACCCGAGGGCGAGGCGCAGCCGGGCGGCGCGCCGCCTCGCTCGACGCTGGATCGCAGACCGCAGCATCCGCCAGGCCGCCGCCCCGTCGTTTCCCCCGGGACCGCGGCTGCAGAGGCGCGGTGAGGCCTCGAGGCTCCCAGGGCCGGGCGACGGCATCCCACGGCTGCCTGCCGGAGCCCGGAGCCTGCAACGTCACAAGTGGAGCGTGATGATTCAGAGGGGAGTGCCAGGAAGAAAAGGGCTCTAGGGTCACCAAATCCACTGTTTTTGTTCTGTTCTTGTAGCCGCCCACAAATTCCCTATTAATACCCGCCTCCTCCGTTCTCTTTTTGAGGATTATGGCTTTGACAGACGGGTTGGTCGCTGTGAAGATGGACTTCCTGCCGGTGGCAACCAGGTCCCATTGGTCTAATAGAAATGTCGAGTGTGCTGCTTGTTCTGCAAACCCTAGCAAGGTCCCCTGGGCTCCTGACTTACAAGGTGTGGGCCTAGGGCCACCTTGACAGGAAGAGCATCGTGGGTAGGGAACTCCTCTCTCTCAGACCTTTACACTGTGGAATTTAGTATTCCTTAAAGGTGGTTCTGAATGGTGGGTGGGGATGGGAATGGGTGGTGATGGGAAGGGTAGAAATTTTTAAAGAGCATCGTGGTTTCGAATAGAAAGGGTCTGGCTGTCCGCCCAGCAGGTGGAACGTTGTCTGTGAGCGCATCAGGCCTTCTAAAGCCCTTCAACATCCTCCCCCTTCACGGCGCACCTAGGAAGTGATCATGTCTGCAGGGCCCCAACTGGGGCAGACAGAACAGGCTGCTCAGGAAGGAGGAACTGGGCTCTTCCACCTGGAGGGCAGAGGAGACCAATACCTACACACCTTTAACTCATTCCGTGCCATGAAATTAGGAAGCTCTGCTGTAGAGTCCTAGCTAGCAGGTTTTCTTATCTACATTTCCCCAAATCACGCGGGACTGCCTCCTGCGTTGTCAAGACTGGTTCTCAGAGCAGTGGGGAACCATCAAGACAGGGGCCTGGAGTAATACTGAGGTCATCGTAGTCCAGGAAATAGTGCTTAAAACTTTACATCTCTCAAATGGAACTCATCTTTTTTCTCCCAGGCTGCTTCTGTGGCCTCTGAGACAACTCCTCCTTCTCACCCCACCCCCACCCCATTCTCGGGCTTTCAGCCTCTAGCAAGTCCAGCTGATCCATTCTGTCTTCTCTCTCAGGTTGTATTTTAGGTCCATCCCCTTAGGGGTCATTGGGTCCACCCTCTTTGCTATTGTTCATTAATCAGTCTCATCATCCTATCTAGTCTCATTTCCAACTATGATGGAAAAATCAAGAAATAGTTTGAACACGGTATTTGGAAGTAAAGAAGCAAATATCAGAATAGTTAGAAAGCAAAGAATTTGCCCCTAGGGAGCAGGAGACTGCTGTTTTTGTTACAACAACATGAATATGATCCAAATCTAGTCCATTTTCCACTTTGCTACCGCAGAGATCATGCTACATCACACATCTCAATGGGTTGCTTGCTTGGAGGCCTTCACAGGCTCCCAGCCTCTGGTACCATCAAAAGCAAGCTCCTGGATGTGACTTTCAAGGCCACACTGCCCCTCCCATCTGTCAAACCTGCCCCGTTACACTTGACACCCATTTTACCTCACCACATCTAGGTTCCTAAATGCACAAACATTTCATTCCTTTGTACCTCTACACATGTTTGCCTGGCATATTCTCTCACTACTGTAATAATAGCTAATGGCATGAGACTAAGTGCTTTTTGTGTTTTATAGCTGTTCATTCTTACATCAACCCTATGGTAGGATTACTGTTATCTCAATTTAATAAAGAACAAAACTGTGACTTAGGTTAAGTAATTTACTCAAATACGTAGTGTGTGGTAAGGCCAAATTGGAACCCAGCAATATGACTCCAGGACTTACACTATTTTACCTGTTCATGCTTTAAAAACATTTCTCAGATGCTAAATTTAAGCAGGATTTAAAATTTTTAATTCTTTAAAAGTCTCAAGTGCAAAGAGAAACTATAAGTGAATTGATTTTAATCTCAAAGTAAGCATGGAACGAATAGCAAAATTACAAAGAAAAAGTGATGGATTTGACTATAGAATTTTAAATTTCTTTCATCAAAAAGACCCATAGGACAAAATTAAAAGACAAGTAAAAAGTGTGCAATATATAGGAAAGATAAGAGAGTAACCTATTCATTTAATAAGAAGATCTTACAAAGAAAATATAAATATCCTGTTTTTTAAAATGGGCAAAAATGTAAATTAGTTAAATCATGAAAGAAAAATGCAAATGGCCAAACATATTTTTAAGGGAAGTGAAAATGTAAAATGATAACGTACCATCAGGTTGACTGAGAATAAAAACATACTCTGAGCTAGTGATTTGGGCCAGCGACACTTGAGCCAGGCTAGTTAACAAATGAGGAAGCTCAGTGCTGAGAGGGCATAAATTGCTTCAGTGTTTCTGGAGGGCAAATTGGCAGAATACAGTAAAAGCCTCAAAAATGTTCACACCCTTTGTCTCAAAAATTATATTCTGGGAATTCACAATATAGGGATTGACAAATGTTTTCTATAAAAGTCCAGATTGTAAATACTTTAGGTTTTGTAGGCCACAAATGTCTCAGTTGCTTTTCTTCTGTGTGTGTGTGTGTGTGTGTTTTAACCCTTAAAAAATATGACAGCTATTAGCTTGAAGGCTGTAGAAAAACACACTGTAGCCTGAAATTGGCTTGAGGTCAGTAATATGTGCAGAGGTGACTACAAGAAAGTTCATCCCAGTACATTTGGTAATAGCCAAAAGAGAAAGCAAACTAAATGTCTGAGGATAGAAATTAGTTATAACCAGGCATGAAACAAGTTTTAAAAAGTTTTAAATGTTTAAAAAAGTTTCAGCATGATATTTATTGCATGAGATAGCATTCACGATTTATTAAGTGGAAAAATACAGTTTACCAAGGAATATCTATATCATCATTACAAATACAACATAATCATGTGTAGTTAGGCACAGAAAAAGATCTGGAAAGACACAGACACCCTAAGATATTGAGTGGTCTTGGGGTGGGGGTGAGATTATAGATATTTAGTTTTTGGTCGTGTATATGTGTTTCCAATAGTGAATATGTATTGTTTTTTCATGATAAGTAAAAATATAATAAATTTGCTCAAGTGGCAACAGACTTTAGTTCTCAATTTGAGAAAATCTTCCCTAAATCCACTCCCCCCTACCCCATGCTCCCTGAGTACATAAGCTTCTTTTGAGTACCGCTATTTACTTAATTAGAGAATGGTTAATACCATCCTTAATTATGCATTCCTCTATTATTGGCCATCTGGGTTCCCAGTACTTCACTATTATTTTCTACTTGCTCTGCCAGATCCATTTCCCATCCTATTCTGCTGGACTTTGTGCCTCAGAAGGCAGAACTTTCATAGACTTCTCTGTGCTCTCTTGCCAGCTAGCTTCCAGGTGGGACTGACCAATGTGTGACACCAACAATAGGTTGGAGGGTGGAAAACAAAAAAAGTTGGGGTATTTCTCCCCACCTCTTTTCCTGCTTGGGCCTCTAAGGTTCCTGCAAGGCAGCCCCTACTGCCCTGCTCATTCGATCTCCTGTCTTTATCCCTTCAGTCCTAGCGATGGTGACGGCTTCCTACTGTTGCGAGAGCCTGGGTACCTCCATCTCCAGTTGTTTCCATTTACCCAACTCTATACCCAACCCAAAACTTCTGTAAATAGTCCCTTCAATAAAATCTCTTCTGTTGAAACATCTAAGTGGAGGTGGGATCCTGTTAAGACAAACTCATATATTTAAGAACACTGGTGAACATCATGGAACACAAACCTTTCATTTATTGTGCAACAGGGCCTGGACAGTCACAGATTTTACATCTGAGCTTTTGACTATTTGCAAGGTAATTATAGAATGATTTACAAGTTTCATGAATCAGGAATTTTAATAGCTAACTGTGAGGCCAGTGTTTGGGAATATAACACTCTGACTATTGTTCTCTACTTCTCTGGACTTTTTTGAGAAGTAACACTCCATTGCACTTTTATTAAAGAATTATATACTACGGTATAGTGGTGTTCAAATTTTGATATTTTCAGCGGAATCTTTAAGAAATACTCTTACATATCAGGTCTAACACATAAATGAGATAAAAGTCACATGCGGGGTTGGGGAAGCCTTCTTCCTCATCTTTGAGGCAGACTTTAGGACACCCCTGCCAAACCCCAGGGCTCCCTGGGACACAAGTTCTTTCATGCACGAGGACATATTTCTGGGTTTTTTGTTCATTCATCTGGGTCCTTTCATTCATCCGCCTTTGGGTTACTATGCCAATGGCATAGCTTTTTTTATTTAAATACAGTTAGTTTACAAGGTTGTGTTAATTTCTGGTGTACAGCATCCTGATTCAGTTATTTATATTTATATATTCCTTTTCATATTCTTTTTCACTATAGGCTATTATAAGTCATTGAATAGAGCTCCCTGTGCCATACGGCAGCACCTTGTTGTTTACGGCATAGCTTTTTAATAGCAGGAGGGTAACTCTCTGCCAAAATTCACTTTTTCAAAATATTCAAACTATGTGTGCTTTTCGATGAAATTTATTAACCATTTTTCTGGTTATAAAAGTGATGCATTATGAAGACAAGTTTGCGGAAACTTTGAAAAAATGTGAAAAAATGTAAAGAAGGAAGTCAAACTCATCCCAAAGTCTATGACTAACATTTTGGAATAGAACCTTCCATCTTTTCTGTGTATGTGTATATTATTTCTACAAATATTACTAAATATACTGTTTTATAAATAGCTGTTTAATCATCATAAAGGAGCATTCCACCATGTCATTAAATATTTCTTTGAAACATGATTTTTAATGACGCATTAGCCAAGGCCTCTAGCATAAGGGTCATAGTAGCAGTGTCAGCAGGGAGCGCTCACATCCTCCTCAACTCAGTCATGTCCTTTGTTCAGCCATATCAAACTAGCAATGAAGTCACTGATTGTTGTCGCATAAGCAACAATGCAAGCCTGCCACCGTCACACCTCATAGCTTCAGATCAGCTGTTAGAAACTTGAAACTGGTTTTGACTATAATTCACTGGATTATAAAGAGTTTCAGAGCATTTGCAACGTATATCTCTTGTTAGGCTTATGAAAAAATGACTCAACTATAGGATATTAGATAGCTAACA